TCTGAAAATGCTCACTGAAGCACACTTTCCGGCCTCAGTAATTCTAAATGAGCCGATAGTGGCAGACAGCACCATTGGCAGGCCGAATAGGCCAACTGCCATAGAATGGAGGCTAGCTACAGAGATATCGAGGCCAAACAGAATTAGGTGGGCTATTAATAAATTTAAACCTTATAAATCCCCTGGAGTAGATGGAATATACCCCATCCTGCTTCAAAAGGGGCAGGAAATACTAATTCCACACTTGTGTCATATATTCAAGGCTTGTATAGCAATACGATATATACCCATAGTATGGCAGAAGGTGACAGTCATCTACCTTCCCAAAGTGGGAAAGGTGGGTGACAAAACGCCAAAATCATACCGCCCAATAAGTCTAATGTCGTTCCTGCTCAAAACGCTGGAAAGACTGATAGACAGATACATAAGAGACGAGGTATTACAAAGAAACCCGCTCAACGAACGCCAATATGCGTATCAGCCAGGCAAGTCAACTGACTTAGCACTGGATGATCTGAACAGGCTACTCGCAAAGTCGATAGAGGACAAAGAAATAGCTATAACAACATTCGTAGACATAGAAGGTGCTTTCAATAACGCATCAACAAATTCTATAATTAATGCCCTAGCAAGGAAAGGAGTACCGCTACTCCTGTGCCAGTGGATAAATGTCAATTTGAAAAATAGGGTTATCATATCCACAATTGGCGAGACAACTCTGACAGCTAGAGCAGATAGGGGATGCCCACAGGGAGGAGTATTATCACCCCTACTATGGGCCATTCTAATGGACGAACTGATCAAAAGGCTAACATCCAAAGGGTATTATTGCTTAGGATATGCCGACGACCTGGCGGTTATCGCTAGAGGTAGATTCGCAAGTACGGTCTCGGAGCTCACACAAATCGCTCTAAACATAATTGACAATTGGTGTAAAGAGGAGGAACTCACCGTGAACCCTCATAAAACCACTATAGTGAATTTCACGAAAAAGAGAGTACTGGAAGGATTAAAGTCACCAGTACTCAACGGGGTAGAAATTCCGTTCGCCCTAGAGGCAAAATACTTAGGAGTCATCTTTGACCATAAGTTAACATGGAATCAACACCTACAAAAAATTGTTCAAAAAAGTACAGTAGCCTTCAATCTGTGCAGACGAATGTGCGGGAAAAATTGGGGACTGCAACCAAAAATGACCACATGGCTCTATGCCAGCGTCATCAGGCCTATGATAGCATATGGGTCAGTAGTTTGGTGGCCAAAGACACAACAGGCTGGAGTGATTCGAAGGCTCAGTGCTATTCAAAGGCAAGCTTGCCTGAGTGCCACTGGTGCAATGAAAACCACTCCAACAGCCGCTTTAGAGGTCCTCTTGAACCTACCACCACTAAAAATATATATTCAAGGCGAAGCCAGAGCAGTCGTGAGTAGATTGTCAAGGGGTCAAGCATCCATAAGCAACGCGCACGGTAAAGACTATAGAAAGCTATATGAAGAGTTGGAAAGCGACCCCATCATGGGAATGCCAACGGATGGCATAATTCCAAAATATAGCTTTGAAAAAACTTTTAAAATAAGTATAACGGACAGAGAGGCATGGAAGGAAGGACCTCCTATCAATGCAGACATTGCTGTCTATACGGACGGCTCCAAAACTGAGTTTGGATCAGGAGCCGGTATTTATGGGGCCAAGCCAAAGACAAGAATCTCACTGAGCTTAGGTAAATACGCGACGGTGTTTCAGGCAGAAATTATTGCAATACATCATTGCGTGAAAGAATTGATAAGGCAAGAGTTTGAAGGCAAAACCATTGCAATCTATTCAGACAGCCAGGCGGCAATCAAAGCAGTCAACTCTATGCAAGTTAACTCAAAACTAGTATGGGACTGCTTAGAAACCCTAAATGCACTGGGCAGTCAGAACAGACTGACTCTAGCATGGGTACCAGCACATACAGGGTACGAGGGCAATGAAGAGGCAGACTCACTTGCCCGAGCAGGAGCAAACAAAGCTCTGAATGGCCCAGAACCCTTCTGTGGTATTGCGAAAGCTATACAAAAGACTAGTATCAAATCATGGATGCAAACCAAATCTCAAGAATGGTGGAACAAATCGCCAGGAATGAGACAGGCAAAAGAGTTTATTAAAAAACCATCGCCAACATTCACAGAATATCTACTAAGCCAGAAACGAAGTTCAACTAGAATACTAGTGGGACTTCTCACAGGGCATTGTAGGCTCAACAAACACATGAGTACGATAGGTCTGACTGAAGAACTGCTGTGCAGGTTCTGTCAGGAAGAGGAGGAAACAGCAGTACACATACTTTGCCACTGTGAGGGCTTGTCAAGACTAAGGTTCCTTACGCTGGGTGAGGAAAAACCAGAAGCCCAGAGATACACAGGGGATCTGAAAGCTAGCCTATGGAGTCTCATAGAGAAGACGGGGCTAGCCGAAGAACTCTAATCGATTTTGAGGGCAGACACAATAGATCTGAAAAGGTCGCGGTGTGGAGGCAGATAGCCCGAAGGCCCCATTCTAAATCTAATCTAATCTAATCTACTTCAACATTGGGGACTCAATGATTTCTACATCGGCGAAATATCATCATGAGTCTTTCAAAATATAACGAATACAACTATTCAGGTCTTATCAACTCGCAAGTAGCTTGAAGGGGGCAACGAGAAATAATAATGATATTAAATAAATTCTAAAAGTGGGGACGCAATCAATTCAACAGCATGTAAATATTATGATGGGTCTCTCAAAATATAACGAATAAAACTGTTCAGATCTTATCAACACGCAAGCCATACGAAGTGGGCTGCGAGAAATAATAATATTAAATTATAATTCTGAATGTGGGGGCGCAATGATTTCTAAAACCTGGAAATATCATGGTGGGTCTTTCAAAATATAAAGAATACAACTGTTTAGGTCGTATCAACTCGCAAGCCGTCTGAAAGGGGCAACGAGAAATAATAAAATGAAATAGATTCTAAAAGTGGGTACGCAATGATTTGTACACCCTGAAAATATCATGGTGGGTACCTGATCAGTTGAATGCATTATATTCTAAAACCTACTCTGATAATTTTAGGGCATAGAAATCACTGCGTCTTTACTTTTGGAATTTAGTTTATTATTTCTAGCTGCCCCCTACAAATGGAATGAACAGTTATATCTAACAGTGAGAAGATCTCAGATCGTAAAAAGAAAACGGTAGTCCTAAAAAAGTCGACGCCACTGGCCGTTCGGCTATCTTCGGAAAATTAGCTGTTGATATATATATCGAAGACTGGAACCTTTGCCTCGATAATACACTACACTGTTTTACCACTAAACGAACCGATTTTTTAACGCCTCGACACGTGTTTCGCTAACTATGTCAGCATCTTCAGGAGAAAATTAAAACTAGATATCCTATTCTAGTGTGCTGCTTATATACTAGGTATATGTTCATCCAACTGTGAAGAATACTAACCGTCAAGTTAATGTTTGTCATGGTTGGGGTTTTCAAAGACTTAGGTTTTGAAAGCGTTTATCAGTCTGGGTCAAAATTAGGCAATTCATCAGGCAATCCTAAAGATAAAGTGGACACACTTGAAAAGTCGGGAACATACTAAATAAGTTGTAATGATTGTGATAAAACATATATAGGCCAAACCAGGCGACCCATAAAAACAAGGTTCAAAGAACACATAGTCCATTTAAAATATGGCTAGGCTCTGGAATTCATTGCCTGAGGAAGTATTCCCAACAACATATAATCTCCAGAAGTTCGAAAGAAATTCCAATACCTACCTCCTATCCCTTTCCTCCCTAGGAACGCACGATGTTCTCTGAACATTATAGGGATTCCCTTTCGTGCGCTTCAAGCGATAAAAAAAAATCTTGTGTAGCCGAACATATGTTCAATCACAATCATAACACACATATTAGTAACCTCAAATTAGTTAAGCAAGTTAATAACATTAGAAAACTAGACGCATATGAAAGCTTAGAGATATTTAAGAATAGTAATAGAGTAATGAATAAGGATAATGGACCTATTCCATATAGCCCTCTATATATAGTTTAGTAAACTAAAAATTATTATTTACATGTGAACTCAACCATGACAAACATTAACTTGACGGTTAGTATTTTTCACAGTTGGGTGAATATATACCTATAGCACCCTGACAACCTGTTATTTGTTATTTTTTTCCTTGTAGATATGTATTGTGATTGACTGAAATAGTTGTTCTACCAATAGCTATATAGAATGCAATTATTGTAAATTGTCTTTGAGGAAAATAAAATATCTATCTGAAAAAAAATCTACCTTTATTAACCTCTTTTCAATGCGTGAAGTGATTATGTTACCAAGGTAGTTTTCGTCATTTTATGAAGTACTAACCAATAAAGACATTATGTTCAATTATAATCAACTCGAATTCACTGTTCTGATGGCAATGGCACTCGAATCTAGTAGGTATTTATCAATATAACGACTTAATATGCTATGCAAATGCTTATGGCAACTAGATTTTGATTAGGATTGAAAAGAAGAGCTTTCATCGTGTTCCACAAAACTATAATGATTGAAAATTCAATTGACACCATGGTAGTAAAGAATATTATTCTTTTCCGTCGACCTCTCAAATGGTCAATTTGTCTATTGATGCACGAGTGTAGCGTAGGCAACCAAACATACACCGCGTCCACGGTTTAGCCTTTGCTTTTCCAAGTTTCTGAAACGATTTTAATCCCTATGTTTTCTGACACAAGGAATTCATTTTTTATGTTGATTATTTCGCCAAATGTTACTATAATATCAGTGACAATCTAGTATATAAGCAGCACACTAGAATAGGATATTTAGTTTTAATCTTCTCCTGAAGAAGCTAACATAGTTAGGGAAACACGTGTCGAGGCGTTGAAAAATCGGTTTGGTTAGTGGTAAAACAGTGTAGTCTGTTGATATATTGATGATGATTCATTGTTTCTTACTCACCCAGGAAGGTCTCTCCTGTTTGCCTTCGGGAAGGATCGTGGCTACCAATGGCTACTTCCTCCACTGTCGGAAAGAATCTGTTATGGAAATCTTGAAATATTCTCTTTATACTGAAAGTGTTTTCTTCTGACACTTCTTCTTCGTCTTCGACGTGAAAACTGCCGATCGAGTCTGAATCGTTGAATGTTACTTTCTTGTCCCCACCGATAATCTTGGTAGCCTTCAACGGTCTGAAGGCTATGACCTGTAACCAATTGAGCTTTCTTAACACGCTTATGATAGCTTGGTATGTTTGTTTTTCTACGGCTATAACACAAAACTGCTCATCAACTTTATTGTGTTATTATTTCAAAAAATCTCATTGCCCATGGAATGTCAAATATCTAGCAATAACATGTCTGTCTAATAGATGAGCATTACTTAAAAAAAAATCAGATGGGTATAAGTCGAAGAAATAACAAATTTCGCTGTTTCTGTTGCAGCCGTAGAAAAATTATAGTGTATAAATCGCACGGAATGCTAATTTTCCACCCGTATAATTGCAGCATTCGCCTACGGCAGGTGCTCGTTAAACAATATACTATTGTTTGTTTAATTGTATCGGAATCTTCGAACGTGATTTTGACGAACTTCAAAGCGTCCGATTGACATGAAAGTTGGCAGGTGCACATAATTCTAGTGACAAGAAAAACAGAATGGCGGCTTCAAAATGGCGGACAGCTTTCGTAATTTCGATTCGATTCTATTGCAAACTGGTATTTGGGAAATTTTGGGATCGTAGATTAGGATTCTATTGTCAAAATAGTAAAATTCAATATTGTATTTACCTGCAATATTCCTTATTATATCCTAGCTCGAAGAACCAAATTAGCAATGAAATAGTCAAATTATAGTTTTTTTTATCTGACACAATCAATCAATCGATATATATATTTTAACAACCAAGTCTTTCTAGATTATTCACATCAATATACTGGGTGACAAATTATCAACTGGAATATCATGATTAATTACATATAAATATAACATTTCTCCCCCCAGTAATTGAACTGCAGTGAGGCAATTACTTATTCACTTCTAGAACAATCAGCCTAGATACTGGACGTCGAAATATAACTCCAGTGCTACTCTTCACGTCGACGATTCTTACATGGCCATCTTTAGCTGGGTACAAGTGGACAACAACACCCTTTTGCCAAAGATTTCTTGGTCCTGACGGGTTCACCATCACCACTATATCACCTAATTGTATTCTTCTTTTTTCTGTAAACCATTTTGTCCTTCTTATCATGGTAGGCAGATATTCTTGAGTCCATCTGCGCCAGAATAAGTCTGCCAATTTTTGGGCGGCTCGCCAGCTTGACATCAAACGCAGGTCTCTTTCATCTGTTTTCGTTATGGGCAAAGCAGCATAAGAAGGCCCAATCAGAAAATGGTTCGGGGTCAAAGCTTCTGAAGAGTCGGAGTCTAGTGATACGTGAGTACGGGGCCGAGAATTCAAAATGTTTTCTGTCTCAATCAGGAATGTTCGTAGGACATGTTCAGGTGGATACCTTGATTTGAGAACTTCTTTCAGAACTTTCTTCGTTGTTTGAATGAGTCGTTCCCAACTGCCTCCCATATGTGGAGCAAGTGGTGGGTTGAAGTTCCATTTGACTTTCTCCAAAGTACAGAACCGCATTATTTCGTCTTGTTGCAGACTTTGAAGACTTTCCGTGATTTCCCTTTCGGCGCCTCGGAAGTTCTGTCCATTATCACTGAACAGTTCTTCAGGAAAACCTCTGCGGCATCCAAATTGTCGAAGAACATTTATGAAAGAGCTCGTGCTCAGGTCCTGAGCTATTTCTAGGTATACTGCACGTGTTACCATGCACGTGAAAATTACGCCATACCTTTTTTCCTTACTCCTTTTTACAGGCACTTCCAAGGGTCCGAAGTAGTCCATCCCTGTTTTAATGAAGGGCCTTATGGTTGGTTCAATTCTGCATGATGGTAACTGTCCCATTTGTGGTATCTGTGGGACAGCTCTTCTGTTTTTGCAGTGCTGGCAGTTATTCCAGACACTTTAAACAGCTTGTCTCATTCTCAAAATCCAATACTTCTGACGTAGATTATTGATAACAGTTTCTTGACCATGATGATGTACATTCTGATGGTAATTTTCAATCAATAGTTTGGTAATACTATGGTCAGGATCTGAAATTATCGGTTTCTTCATGTCTTCACTTATTGTTGCATTATTCAACCTACCTCCAAGTCTTATAAGATTGTCTTCATTCGAAAATATACAAGATAATGTGTATAGTCTACTCTGAGGACCCAAAGTTGTGTTGTTTTTCAACTGACTAATTTCTGAAGGAAATGAATCCATTTGCACTTTCCTGAATAACAAATTTTCAGCTGAGGCAATTTCATCTACGGTGAATTCTTGTATATTCTTTTCACCCGATCTCAAATTCTCGATAAATCGTAATACATAAGCAGTTGTCCGTACAAGTTTAGTCCATTTGGAGAATCGGTTTGGGTCCGGGATTATTATAATATTTTTGACAAAATTTATCAGAACTAATTCATCTTTCTGGAATTCTAAGACATTCATATCGATTTCAGGCAGTTTTTCGTTTTCGTTGGGCCAATTGTCTGCTGGCAGTAACAAACATTTGGGTCCATTGAGCCATCTGTCTTCTTTGGAAAAAGAAATTTCTCTTGTTCTCTTGGTTGCTTCATCTGCTACATTATCAAGTGAACTTACATATCTCCATTGCGATACTAGTGTTAATTCCTGTATCTCACCAAGTCTCTGTGCCACGAATACCTTGCACCTTCTTGCTTCAGTGCGAATCCAGTGAAGGACAGTTTTCGAATCGCTCCAGTAGAACTCTGTCGAGATATTGAGATTTAATGAATTTTTCAGAGTATGGGCTAATCGAGCTGCTATCAAAGCCGCCTGAAGTTCTAATCTGGGTATTGATATGGGCTGTTTCAGAGGTGCGACTCTCGTTCTTGCACTGACGAAACTGGTTTGGATATGTCCATTTTGACTTATTCTAAGATAGGCTACCGCAGCGTAACATTTTTCCGAAGCATCGCAAAATATATTGTTACGACCCTGGCAATCGATCCCAGCTACCTGCGAAAAGTAAACAAGCCATATTTCTTGGAATAGTAATTAGGTGATTCGACGGCTATTGAGATGACTCGAGAAGATTATCGACCTGTTCACGATATTTCGAGTGGAATCTAGACGTTTTATTAGGTAATATAAATAGATGTTGTTAGGGACAGGGAGGAAAGTCTTTATTTGGAAGCGTTATAATAACGATCGAAGAAGTGTTGTGAATCGGAAGTGTTTAGTATGAGTATTGTAATTATTGTATAGTAGTGTTCAGAATAAATTATTTTAAGTGTTATACCGAGTGTTAAGTTATTACGGACCCAGAGTAAAATCGTAACAGTGGTGTCAGAAGTGTGGATTTTCGAGGACATTTGAATACGTATGGTGAATACAAGGAGTACGTCATACGACACGATGGAAGACATTATGAAATTCATGAAAAATCAGTTCGCAGAACTAGAGACACGACGACAGGAAGATGAGAAACGTCGTCAAGAAGAGTTACAGAAAATTCTAGAACATCAAGAAAAAGAACGAGAACATCAAGAAAAAGAACGAAAACATCAGAAAATCTTCTTCGAACAAATTCTGCATAAAACTGATAAGCAAATGGATGAGTTAAAGACAGATGTCACCAGAATTGATGACAAGCTTAACCAGGAAGTTTCAAGAATAGATTCCATGCTCGATGCAATCGAAAGAAATGTAGCGAATCAGATCACCTCGCTACGAAGTCAAGATCGCCGTGACAGAGTTGCCACATCGAGTTCTTCCGTGAAACCACCAACTTTTGATGGACAGTCGCCTTGGTCTATGTATCGCCGACAATTTGAGGCTGCAGCAAGTGCAAATGGGTGGAGTGACGAGGAAAAAGCTACTGCACTCATAGTAGCTCTGAGAGGACCAGCTTTGGGGATGTTACAGTCGATCCCAGTTGAACAACAAAACCACTTCGGAGATTTGGTGGCTGCGCTAGAACTCAGGTATGGTGACCAACATCGAGAACAGCTTTACCGGGCTCAGATGAAAAATCGTGTGCAGAAGTCTGGAGAGAGCCTACAGGAGTTCGAAGCAGATGTGAGAAGACTGACTCAATTAGCCTACCCAGAGGCACCAGAGGACTTCAAAGAACAACTGGCGGTGCAGGTATTCATCGACGGGCTGAGAGACTCAGAAATACAGAAGACTCTGAGGCTTACACACTTTAAGAGGAGTGGTGAAGCCCTAGTAAGATCTCTGGAGGTAGAAGCGGCCTTCAAAACCTCTAGGCCAAAAGTGAGAGCTGTGTCCATCGAGGAGCCTTCCGAAGACGTGGACCCAGTGGCGAAAATGTTGAGAAAAGTGCTTGAGGAACTCAAAGAAATTAAGAGTGGGTCTAGTAACCAGCGAAATAGATCCTGCTATCGCTGTGGCAGAACTGGACACCTGATAAGGGACTGTAAGGTGAGAGTACCACCACAATCTTCTTCACCTGCAAGGACGCCATCACGGTCGTACTCACCTGCGAGGACTAGGTCATCTAGTGAGTCCTCAGATAGATACCAGGAAAACTAGAACTAGCCAGCGTATCGGGGCGCATGCTGGCTAGTAATAACGAAGCCCCCAGGGTCATTAACATCAAAAGGATAAGAAGAACAACTGATAGCCTGACCATCAAAGGAAAAATCAACCAAATGGATGTAACCTGCACCATAGATACCGGTGCATCAGTTTCTCTGGTACGCAGTGACATTCTCCGGCCTGGAAGTATAAAACCAACCACTTCCAACTTTGTTCTTCGTACGGTCACTGGAGAAAATGAGTTTATCCTCGGCATGGATCTGATAAGTGACTACGGGTTTTCATTCGACAGTGATCAGAAGACCATGAAATTTGGAGGAGAAGAGTTTGTACTAACGACACCGGCCGAGAGGGAGACGTCTGTGAGGCTACGACTAGCGAAGACTGTGAGAATTCCTGGATTCACTGAGAAGATCATCCATGCGCGATTAGAAGAGAACCCTGGGTGTTGCGTTGGATTAGTACAGTCATGTGAGGAATCCCCCAGCAAGCTGTTACTTGCCCGAGCTTTAGTGACCACCGAACGAGACATTCCTGTGAGGGTAGCAAATGTTTTACCTACCACCATA